GTGTCTGGGGGAAGAGGAGTCAGTTTCGCATAATTCGACCGTGACTGACTCGAGAGCTCCGTCGCATTAAAATGCATGGTGGACGGAGAAGGCAAAGCAGATGGAATGCTACGTCGAACGCCGCCAACACAAGGAATTCTTTGACTCCTTGAAGGCGGTGTATGAACTGAGGTTGGAGCTGCTGATGACGCTAATGGATTGTAGTTCAGGCGCTACCTGCACATTGACTACGGACGTAATGCAGATCTGGAGGAAACACTTCGAATGTCTCTTGAACAACCGTCCAGAGATCGACTGGCCTACATTGAACGGCCTGAAGCAACACGAGGTGAGATGAGTTTGGCGTACATGCGGACACTGAATGAGACGTTGACAGCACTTGCTTAGTTGCGAAACGGCAAGTGTGCTGGGGTCGATGGAATCCCGCCTGTAGTATTGAAACACGGCGGATCCGCTTCGACTGCGGCCAACTTCGGGCTCACCATCAACACAAGCAAGACTTTATCTTTTGCAGCATTCACCTGGAATTGAGGCTATGGGCCTGCTACGAATCCAGATTGCCAACGAAGTCTTAGAATCCACTTCGAGATTTCGCTAACTTGGTTACCTAATAACAACCGACCAGCAGTTGACGAGCGTGCTGCGCAGCTGCATATCGAAGGCGGGAGCTGTTTTTGGCAAGCCGGAATGCCGCGTGTGGAACAACCACCAACTCACTATTGGGACGAAGCTGCTGGTATATAAGTCTATGGTGCTGTCCGTTCCACTATACGGCAGCGAAACGTGGACGCTTTATCGGAAGGATGTCCGATATCTGGAGCGCTCCCGTCAACAGTGTCTGCGCCGTATTATGCGCGTCGCTTGGAGTGACCGAGTTTCAGACATGGAGGTCCTACGACGCAGTGAACTGTATACTTTTGCTTAGGCACTTGAGGTGGTCCGGACATGTTCGCCGCATGGATTGGACCCGGACACCGAAACAGCTGCTTTATGGCCAACTGAGTGCAGGGAAACGGCACGTGGGGAAAACCGAAGTTACGATACCAGGACATGATCTAAGTGAGCCTATCCCGTTCTGCTGTTGATTGCAGATCATGGGAATCGAAGGTGGTTGGTCGGTGTGCATGGCGCGACCTAATCACGAAGGCAGTTGCCGAGGTGCGAGAAAAAGCCTTCATACATGCAGAGAAGAAGCGGCAAGTGCGAAAGCGACAGGCACCGATGAGCTGTGCTCCATCGACCTCGAGCGCTTGGTACTGTAGCACATGCGGTTGCGAGTGCCTGAGTCAGACTGGTTTAGTGAGCCACGAACGAGGCCACTCAGGACCAGCATCGAAACGATGACGGGTGCTGCTGTGAAGGTAAGCAAAACCGGCGCAGCCTTGGTAATTACGCTGCTTTCGATTTACTAACCGCGTGCTTGTCTGCTGAGTTTGTTTATTTCAAGTGGTTGGTTTGTTACCTTTTCATAGTGTTGTTTTCTTACCTCATTTTAATGTGTACCTTCATGATCTATTAACTTGCACATTTTGCTTAAATTCAGGATGGTTAACTTCGCTTATTTTTTCTTCTTCTTACATCTGTGTCTGGATTTCAATTTTCCACCATCCTAAATCTATTGCAGCTATTTTGATAATCCATTTATTTCATATGCTAATTTAGTGGCATTTCCGTACGGTGTATTCCATCTATTTTATTCGACATTTCATTTCCTGTGATTGGCTGTTGCCGGATATCCCTGGTGTGGCTGCGCTTGATGTGCATGTTGACAAGGTGCCTACCTGTCTTTTACCAACTACCTTGTCTATACTGGCTCCGTCATCATCACCATCAGCAGCAGCAGCAGCAGCAGTAGTAGTAGTACATCAGTCATTTGAACTGATGCTTCGCTGCCATACGACTCTGATGACTTATAGAATACATAATAATAAGAGGGAGAGAAGGGGGACTTACTTGAAAATTGGAATGCCGTAAGCAGATATTCAGGGTGAATATCTTTTGTAAACAACGTACTGTCAAACAGTTGGCTCTCGTGCGTAGATGAGACTGCATCGGGGACACAGCTTCCTTGCGGCTTTCACTGCCACGCGTCATAATCAGCCATTATCTCGCAGATAACTCAGCACCAAACAGGCAATCCGATTAGGAGACGGCAGCAGACGTGCCACTGGTGTCAGTTGCAAGCCATGTCCTGCAAAATCTCGAGCCAAGCACAAGGCGAGTCACGTGGACTCCAGTCCGGAAGGCGAGACGGACCAACGGCTGCCAGTTTGCTCGTCAGTGACTTCATTTCCCGCTGCCAAGTCAGTTTCTGTTCACCTCGAGCTTTGCGCCACCTTACACCTGACAGACTAAACAAGACGCTCCTAGGTAAGCGGTGACCAGGCATACGTAGCACGTGTCCAAGCCAATGCAACTTATTCAGTGCTATCTGTTGTTCTAAGGAGCTGGCATGATTATCACTACCTGGTACTCGCCTATGCACATCATCGTTGCGGACACGTTGATGCCAACCGACATTAGCATTACTTCGCAGACAACGGTGATCAATGGCTTGGTGTCTCAGATCTTCAGACCGAAGGGGCCAAGTCTCACTCCCATAGAGCGGGACGACCCTCACTATGTCCTTGTATACACGGCCTTTGAGACGGAGAGGAACTCTTCTGTCACCAAAGATGCTGCAGGTTCAAGGAGACGGTCCTGACCTTTACAATACGTGAAATGACTTCAGTTTCTATGTGCCCATCGTTGCTGATGTAGTTGCCAAGGTAAGTGAATCGATCGGCCACCTCGAGTTCCTTGTTATCAATGGTCTATGGGTTATCAATTGGCCGGTGGTCCTGCATCAACACTTTGCAGGTGCGAAGTGCATACTGAATAATGGGACCGCCTTAGAGAGGCTATTCAGTGCTGATTGTGCTGCCCCAACATCGTCAAAAAACAATATCATATCGTCCTCATAATCAAGATCAACTAACCTTTCAACAGGCAGGATCTCAACACATACACCATGAAATTCCGCAAGGGAATACTCCATGATGGAGCCCACACGAAACTGAACAAAAATGGGGAAATCAGACAACTCTGACAAATGCCATTTGTGCTCTGAAATCTATCCTACAGGTCATCGTTTCTTGCATGTCGGTCGTGTACCACTAATCCCCTGACTTCCTGGAACATTTAAATTGATGCGGTCAAAGAATGCAAGGACTTTGGTACCTTGCTGATCGACGTTAGCAAAGCGTACGGTGGAGTGAATCAGCATCTTACTATCCAACAATTCTGTGTGAGTAACGACACGGATGATTGCCTATGGATTCAGTCCTTTTCATACGAGTGACAGTAGTGCATCCAAGTCATTAACCACCAAACGCGATGGTTTACTGCTTTGTTTGTGTGCCATAGCATACAGCGCTTGGCTGAATGCTGTTCTTGTTTCGCATCAATGACCTGTCAGGTTTGAAATCTACTTAGTGCTTTCGTCGAAGATTTAAAACTCTGGAGGAAAATATCGACCTCGGTCGATCAGAGTTTATTCCAATGTGATCTCAACGAATTCTACTCATTGACACCAATTAACTAACCCCGGTTTACCCGGAAAGTCCGAATTACTCACCATAGTCAAGTGATCTCGTGACAGAAGGTACGATGTCTGTGGTCGACGGCCATCCCAGTGGGATTTGAAGTCATTGGACAATGCACACGAAGTCTATTGTTCCAACCTCTGCATGCTTTGATAACTGGAGCAAACCTTCCACGTTTGGTCCGAGGAAACTACGATCCGGCTATGCGTAGCCTTGGTGCGCTCGCTGTTAGAATACGGTGCAACGGTCTACTATCACGGCACAAAGGGTGAGGTGAAACGATTAGGGAAAGGCAGCGCCTAGCCGCTCGCTTGATTTGGACGCTGCGTGCCTTAACCCCCCTACAGAGGTACCATAAATTGCGACTTCTCACATTGGTATACAGGAGGTTAAGGATTAATCTCATTACAACGTTCAGAATTTTTCGTCTGGGCTGTATGTCCTTCACTACAGATACCTCGATCACCTGAGCTCATGTTTGTAAACTGCAAATTCAGCGCACAGATCACATTTCTCTTCTACATTTTTTTATGTTGCGTTATACATTTTTGGAACTGGCAGTTCAGTCCTGTTATTTTCACAGACTGCGGTGTTTCAAACACCAAATTGACATTTTGTAGACCCTTGTTTCAATGCAGATGCTATATTCGACTGCTCTCGTCGCGTGGTTTTGTTATGGCTACACTGGAAGCCTTGGAGAAAAGTTCTCGGGGCTTTTTAATCCACAATTTATGTAGGCAAAAAAGGCATCAGCAATACGCCGACGTATCGCTGCCGCGCAACATCCACCGGTCGCATGTGAGCTAGAATACTGTGAGCGTCGCCCGGTCCGTACTTGGCTTGAACCCGCGCATTCGGATCACAAGGCGGGGTTGTGATCCTTAAGGCATTCGATTGGACACGATCCACGCATGCCCACAAACTGATTTCCATTTAAGCCTTGTATTATCGACTCTAGGATGGCTTAACTCTGGATGAAAGACAGTCACTGACCCAGCAATGGGAACTAAACCGATTAACCACCAGACTTAGTGCTTTTGACCCAACACATCATCTGTACTGAGGTCCACGCTACTTCCCTTGTGCTTCCCTCGAGGCACTACGTGATATATCACGCATCATCGCCAGTCTCCTGTCTGCTGCTGTCTCTTATCCCATGGGCTGACAATGAATAAGACGCTAAGAAGTGGAAAGTTCAAAGATACTATCTTCGCCCTGTAACTGTTATTCTTTTACGGTTCTTGCCAAGTATCGGTTCTCAGATGACATTTCGTTGCTATGTTTGATCCTCTGCTTTCTCTTTTTACCGGTACCATATTTGCCTGTTTACTGTTGTATGAAAACGCGTCAATTGAAGTAATACTGTCGATGTTGAGAATATTCTTCAACTCTGTATGTACATTTTCCTTGATTTTAGTTGTAATGTCGAAAAATACGGGAGACACTAAATTTCGCAAGGTGGATGTGGATCAGTACGGTGAATCAAATTTTCAAGATGAACAAACTGAGGACACTTTCTCGCCCAAATTCAGTGAAGCCGACGTTAAGTCATGCATTGAAAAGTATTTGGTCTACGATCTCCTATGACCACATTTGTTTAGAGGAAGGTATGTGGAAGGTCTTACATTAGTTTTGCAAAACGCCCCAATAAACTCGAAAGATCAGGCTTTGAAGGATATTGCATTCCGACTAGTGATGCGTTTGTTGCCCCAGATTAAAGCGCAGGCAATTGATGATTTTATCGCCGGATTGGATTCCCCAAAGGTGGATCTTTTAATGAAATACATTTACCGTGGATTTGAGCAGTCTCAGGACGGTATTTATGCAACTCTGTTGACATGGCACGAAAAGGTTTGTTAAGAGGTCTCTTGCATACTTAGATGAACAGTTTCCAATTCTGTTGGCGAATTTTGTTTCTAAGAGGCGACATTAGAAGGATGTATCCAGGTTTTTGATATTAAATCTATACAGGACCTTGCTTATTCTCGCAGGAACTAGTCTGACTTTCAGTAATTTCATACACGAGGCTTATCTTTCTGAAGTGCTTTACACACAAAACGGCACGGTATTTCATTTTGCTCTTTCACATTATTCGACTTATCCCGTCTACATTGGTCACAGCTATTTGTGTTACAAGGTTCTGTTTTCTTAACCAATCTTTTTTTTAGTTAGTTTAAGTGAAAAATTTCGTGTGCTGTTTGCTTACACCACTGGACTGCAGGACCGGTTTCGTTAGTCTCTCTTCTTCTTGGATGAAGACGGCAGATTTTCAAGGCAATTCATCGCCGGAACTGATATTGCATGTTCCAATGTACCTGCACAATGGGTACGCTCCAAGCGTAATAGTATCTTACTGACAATCGGTATGAGCGCTTAGTGCGTGGTCCAAAGGAACATTGGTGTAGGCATATACAGGCAGAAATCGCTGTCCAGACTACAGCCCGCCTTGCTCTCTCTACCTTAAGAGTGTAAGAAAGGACAAAACTAATCTTGTAGGGCAAGCGAAGCTCTGAACGACAAACTACCCATCCTAAGTGGATGGAACCCACCGTGTGGTTGTATTGCGGCACGAAATTTCTATATGGATTTCGGTTTACTTTGAAGTAGACCTCGGTCATTCCGAGGGTTTCGTCCTCCTTTGGGCTCATTAAGTGAAGATAGCTGGAGCTGAAAGTGAAGCGGTTAAGGGCCAACGCCTTGATAACTAGGACACTGAGTTCCTTGAATAACCATTGAATGAGATGAAATCTTTTCCTCACCCCAAGTCTTGCAGAACTGAGTTACTGATTGGTTGATGCTTGAACAACTGTGGATGAAGTCTATCTGAGCCAGCAGTCTTGAAAGTGTCGATGTACATAGCAAGCCTCCGCTTCCGTGGGCGGTTCCAGTGCTGCATCTCGTTGCAAGCGCACTTAGGAGCCAATCTACTTGAGACGAAGTACCCAGCCCATTGCAGATTAATGACTAATGATCCGTCGTTCTCCAAAGCAACCCCGTGGACACAATTTCATCTGTGGCTAGTGGGCTGAATGACCTGAAAGTGGCTGCGAAAGTTTACCGGGGAAGTTACATTCCTCATTTCTGATGCACACTGAAACCACCAAGTTTCACGATCACCGCACAGGCTTTACTTGAGTTTATGATAGACTTTGTAGTATTTCAATTCACTCGGAATTAACTGGAATATTTCGACAATGGTCAAAGAATTCATTGGCGTGAGAAATGACCTGGCTTCTCAGAGGATGACAAGTTATTCTACAGATTGCTTGGTCAGAAGATCGTGTCGCTTTTTGCGGAATATTGAGGGACACTCGACATTTTGAGGTGAAATATTGGTGAACATATCTAATGTATGAGCTTGAAAACTTAGTCGAGTGGCGGAGCCATCTCTTCTGTAAGTCTTATATCTAGTTCGTCGTAGTTCTTTCTCAGTCAGTCAGACTCCTACACGCCTGGAAAAGCACTAAACGGCCGTTTCGATCTGGGTCTCGTCAGTGGTGCCCATTCCTCATATCCCTGCCGGATTTAGACCCTACAACATTTGGGTGGCAACAGGTTGTATCACTAAGCCATGGGTGACGGCAGCGGACCTGCATGACTGACAGTTGACTTACGATATAGCGCGGCTCTTCCTCCTCTGGTGCTTTTCCAGCCGTGTGGGAGACTACTTGACTGAGAGGGACTGTGACGAACTACATCTAAACTTACACCCAAGTCCCAACTATTCATTGTCTTTAAGTATCAAACACGGTTTCTAGGATCTTCCGAAGCGCATGCCAATGTGTACAGACCATGGCCTGACCTGAGTTGACGTAGGTGGGTTACTTAGACCTACAACCCCATATGCTGCATCACCAACTGGAGATGATTGCAATACCTTCGGTTTATGGCCAAGTCTTCTTTGGCGAAGAGGGATGCCGGATTGTGGGATATATACTGCTATGTTTGTAGTTTGTGCTTCAGAGATACAAAGGTTATCTACACAAAACGGGAGAAGTTTCTTCGTTTCTATACCTTTTTACACGCATATTAGCGTATTGTACCAAGCTTTTAGCGTGGTTCATTTTCGAAATAGCGTGCGGTACTTTCAAGTTAGCGAGGCTGAGAACGCCGATTTGGCGTCCTTGACACTCTCATTGGTTATGGGACGTAAACCAATGGGACACCGGTTAGAAGCTGCCAGCATAAGAGACAGACAGTCCAATGAAAGTGGTCGAGCACCACCTTCTGTTCCGCCTTGATGCCCCTCTGGAGTAAACCTCGATGATTGGTCTGCAACCTGAAATCGACCAATAGGCAAATTGTGATGCGTGTCAAAGGAGGAGATGCTAGCTACCACATTATCCAAAGCTTAAGACTTAACCAGTGTGGACAGACATACTAACCAGCACATGAAGCGGTCTATGGCGATCACTGGCGGCTACCTAATGGTGGCTTATTCAGCGGCCTAACCATGGTGGCGTAGACAGGCAACCATCTAACTGGTATTCCACAGTGCAACATTGGCTGCTAGGTGGTTAGACAATTGTGTGCGAATGTCATTGCAACGATCCTGGGGGACATAGTTCCCACAGAAGTTAGTAGACCAACCTGAAGCTGAACAACGACAATTCTAAGGTTGCTTAATTCGATCACAGTTGATGACTCAACAAAAAATGATAGGATTGCAATTGTGGCGTTGACACGACGTCAGTGAGTGTTCGTTTGTCTCCATACCCATGGGCGAAAGGTTAATCAGTTGTCGCTTCAGTGTCTCTATGTATGGCGTTATGTAAAGGTCATAGGAACCTATGAATTCTTAGGATAATTAGGTTTCACTTCCATATGGTCGCCCATGGTGACGTAGACAGAGAATAATCTCACTGGTATTCCGCACGTCAGCAATGGCTGCTAGGTAGTTATACAATTTTGTGCGATTGTTATTGCGACGATCATGGGGACATTGTTCCCATTGAAGTTAATAGACCAATCTGAAGCTGAACAACGGAAATTCTATGTTTGCTTACTTCTATCACAGTTGTTGGCTCAACAAAATGTGAGAGGATTCCAAGTGTGGCGTTGACACGACGTTAATGAGTGTTCGTTTGTCTCCTAACCCATGGGAGAATTTGTTAGTCAGTTACCACTTCAGTGCCTACATGTATCGCGTTATGTAAAGGTCATAGGAACCTATGTATTCTTAGGGTAATTAGACTTCACTTCCATATGATCGCCCATACGTGTTGAGACGCTTTAACAAGTGGCTCTCCAAATGGAACCATTATAAGCACAGTCAATGCAGATGGAACCTCCCTATTACGTCAATGGACTGGCATGCTCTCCTCAAGGAATCGGTATTACTCAACAAAGTAACACTTAAAGGGGTCACAATGACTACGGTGTTTATACATGCCATATCGTCCTGCTAGAAAGAACGCAAGACTTATAATTAGTGGCGACGCAGGCATGTTACTCTGCTACTTCAGGTGAGTACTTGGAACAGATAAACACTGTTGTCTCACCCACAGGCGTTCCTACAATGTGTTTGCAATCATTTACAAAGGCAACCGCGCCCACTAAGCCTGCTATGGATCACTGTTTCAGCTAGTCTTAGAAGCATTCATGTATGCACGCCGTGACACAGGTTGTTAGCGACTTAGCAACTACTGGGAAACATTTTGTCATTGGGAAGTAGGTAATTCCCGAGACGTTGTTGAAGGAGGAAAATTTCTCCAAACTCTATGCTTACTATGCGTATGCAATGCTCGTAGGCACCTCATATCAGGGCCGTAGGGTCACTTGAGTTTTAAAGCTTATCAATCACTTCGAAGTGATGGGTAAATATCATGTTGAAACGCAGGATTGACATGCATCTTACGACCTTAACATAACGGCAGGACAATGGGTCTTGTAGCGGTAACTGATTACCGAAGTGGCCCACAGGTGTGGCGACGAACACTCACTAATGTCGTGTCACCGCCACACTAGGAACCCTGCTCTCTGGAACAATGGCTACAGATCCAATGATGATCTTACCTACACAGCGAACTTGATCTTAGTATACAATGCGCCGACTACATAAGCAATACCTATCTACGCTATTCACAGGAGTGTACGGCCAACTGAAAAAACACAGCACGAGAAATTTGTAGTTGTAAAGCTTTTTAAAAATTCTATTTGCCAAGTTCTAGCTTTACCTCCTTTATAAGAATTATTGCATTGTTTCCGATTACCTCACACTGCTTTAACAACCACACGCACATCCTAAGGTAAGTCGCACACCTATCGATTCTCCAGATTGCTCGCAGGGGCACGATTACACTATGCATCACGTGTGGCCAGATAGGCTAGCGAGCAAAGTAGGTAACTTGCATTCAACCGGTAAGCCTACAAAGGTTCTCTTCCAACAGGGTTGCAGCCAATCCGCTTCCTATCACTACTCAATTAGTTGTCATCACGCTCGTGTAAACCTTCAAAGCCCCTCTTACAACAGGCTGAAAACGTTACAACCTCAAAAAGCCACCAATCCGATTCTTAATACCACTCACAGATTTCCTGTCGCCCCCGTGCTGGTGATAGCTCCTTACGCCAGATTGGCAGCATGACCAATCACGTACTATGTCTCCCATTGGCTGATCATCCTCGACACGATGACGAAGTCGCTGGTTACCCATTACTATTGATCACTTGCTGTAATGTTACCTGTTCTTTGGCCTAGTAAACTCCCCGTGTGATCTGGACCACATTGGTCCGCTGCGTATCAGGCGATGCACTTTGGGGTCGAGTCTGTGGCCACACTGTGGCCACTAACAAGTGTGACACTGTGCGCGCGTGCAGTCGTATGGACGCTTTCAATCATGTCGATTGGACGG